GCGGGGCTCCGGGGGGCGGGGTGCGCCAGCCGGTGGCCTTTGGTGACAGTGTTTGTGCCAGGTGCCGGCCAGGATACGCCAGCACCAGTGGGTGGGGGCTGCTTTCCTGACTCTCATCGGATGTCACATGTGCACCTGAGCCACCAGGACCTGGACTAGCCCATCAGCTAGTCCCATCTGCACCTGGCAGCTCGGACTGGGCACCATAGCAAGCACAGCAGGGGTGGTGGCACCCCAAATCACAGGTGGCAACAGGAGGGTGGTGACTCTTTTCTGTTCCATGCTGGTGGCACCCTGTGCTGATGGTGTCCCAGGGAACCCTGGGGAAGATCCCTGTCGCTCTCAGGGACAGCTGGGCCACCTTTCGCCCTACAGATCAACCCGCAGCCCTGGCTACAGCTGATCACCCTGTGTCATTGTCCCCTCCCTGACAGTGCTGTGTGGCTCAGAAGGGGTGTCACCGTGGGGCACAGGACTGGAGCTCTGCAGGGGACACTTGGCAGCTCTAGGAGGTGGCTGTGACCCTTGCTGGGCCCTCCTGAGCGTGGCGAGGAGGAGGAGGGTGCGGTGAGGGGACCACACGGTTCCTCACAGGACAAAGGCAGCATGAGTTGGACAGCACAGACATGACGATGCCGGGTTCTTTTTTACGTATCTGCCGGTCTAAACTGGTGCAAACTGGCCCTGCAGTGCCTGTCTTGAGCCCCGGGGACCGTGGTCCAGCTCCGCAGCACCATATACCGGTGGGCAGCACTTTTGGGAGCGTCCTCTAGAGCATCGCTGGCTGTGTGCCATGATCCGACGGTATGTTGCAACCTCGCACCTCGTGGGACACGTCTCTGGTGGCCTTGGGGACCTCCCGAGTTGCAGGCATGGGACCGCAGCCCTGTGCCGGCAGGGGTTCGGCCGATGCCGGGCGAACGGGGCATGCTGGCAGTGTCCCTCACCTGTAGTTGGTGCTTTTGATGGGGGCCCACGTGTAGGTCCTGAACACCTCGTCGATGTATTGCTGCGGGTCAGAGGGAGCCAGTCAGGCCTCTGTGATGCCGGGACCCTGCCAGCGTGATGGCATGGGACCCCGGCTCCAAGCCTTGTGCCAGCCATGGCCCCTCACTCCTCTCCACAGCAGTGGTTTCGGCTGCGACCCCCTTCGCCTGCAGCCTTACCTCGTCCAGGGACTTGATGAGGGTCTTGATGAACCTCTGCCCATCATTCCCATCAATCATGCTTCTCCGGATCTGGGGGACACGGAAGAGGCAACTGAGGGCCACAGAGCCCAGCCACACACCCATGGGCACCCACCCCAGCAGGGTGGCACTGGGGACCCTCAGGGTGCAGGGGTGAGGGGTGAGCAGCCCGGGAGGCTCTGGGGCAGGGAGGGAGGGAGGCTGGGGAGGGCAGGGCAGGCAGAGCTGGGCTGGCACCCAGGGGACAGTGACCCAGCTCCTGTCCTCACGGGAGCTGTGCCGGGGCCCTTAAGACGAGGTGCTCCCAGGGCAGGCTGGAGCAGCTGAGTGCCCTTTGCAATTGCACATCAGGGGAGGCCAGTCTGTACCCCAAGAGCCACCCCCAGGTCTGCCCACCTCCTCCTTGTTCTCATCCTCCAGCTCAGAAGAAGTGCAGCGTCACCGGCTCGCGGAAATTGATGATCTGCAGGCAGAAAAGGAGAGCCAGAGAAGGGCTCAGGGCTCCCACGAGTGCCACTGAATCCAGACAAACTCACCGCAATTCCCACAATTAGCTCCTAACGACCCCCGAATCCGTGTGTCCTCCAGGGCCCAGCTAACCCCCCCCACTGACGCCCCGACAGGTCGCTCCTCACCTGGGGCTGCAGGTTGGGGTGCAGCAGGACGTAGCCGTTCAGGTCGATGGCGAAGACGTAACCGTTTGCCCCCAGCTGCAGGAGGACAGGAGGAGGGATGAGGCTGGCTGGGTGGCTCCGCAATGTGCCGTGCCAGTGTGATCACCCTCACCTCTGCAGGCAGAGCTTATCCTATGCCATTCCCAGGGCTCAGCCTTGTCTATCCATCTATTTTTATTCTCAAGCCAACAGCATCTGTCACCCCGGCTCTGGATTTTGCCCGCTGCCCCCTTCTGCAGGCTCATAAGGTTTATTCCCTGCTGACCCTGCAAAGGTTTTGGCTCTGCTCTGGTCCCAGAGCATCACCCAGCTCTGACCCCTGCCCGGCTGCCTGCCCCAGGCCCTGCCTGCAATCATGGCTTCGGCATCCTGCTACCGCCAGTGCTGCGGGAGCTGCTGTGGGGTGCTGGAGGGCAGCTCGGGGCTCCCTGTAGAGGGTTCCCACGTTGGCACACAGCAAGGATGGAGGGGAAGGGGCCCCCACGCACATTGTATCGCGGCGTCAGCCTCTTGATGTCGTTGAGAGCCACGTCGATCCCCATCACGCCCAGAATGAGCTGGTTCTGGAAGGAAGTGCAGGGTGGGAGATGGGTGGGAGCAGGACTGTTGCCTGCCACCGCCAGTGTGGGGACGGGAAACAGGGGGATGGACCGCTTCTCCCTCCAGGAATGTGTGAGTCAGATCCGGACACTGCAGGGGCACAGGGTGGGACACGCCAGCCCCCCAGCAGCCCTCCATGGGACACCGCACCCCCCAGGGACTTGCAGCTGCCAGCTGTTCCCAGTGAACTGGGAGAGACAGCCAAGGCCATTTCGGGTCCTGGGGATGGCAGTCACCCCTGGTCTCACCCTAGGGAGTGGTTGTAGAGCAGGCAGCACCCCTGCGGTGTCAGTGCCCCTTCCCTCAACCATGACCGCAGCACCGGGGCACCCTTCCCACCCCACCGTGGCCCCACACCTGGGGGACTCGGTGTGGCCAGGACAGTCTCCTACCTTCCTGTCACTGCTGTCCTCTGTCAGGTTGAACACCGGCAGCGTGCCCGTCACCACCAGGCCCAGCCCCTGCACAAGCACAGAAGGATGTCCCATGGCCCCAGGACACAGCTGGGGTGGGCAGCAGAGGGGGGTTACCCCCTTGGGCAAGGGAGATGGAGGCATGTGCTGTGCAGGACCCTGGGGCCAGTGTCCCTGCCCACATCCCAGGGCTGTGCAGGACCCTGGGGCCGGTGTCCCTGCCCACATCCCAGGGCTGTGCAGGACCCTGGGGCCGGTGTCCCCACCTGCACCCTTGGGCTGGGGGTCCTTACCAGGGCATCCTGGTAGACATTGGTCCACTGAACCTGCTTGGCTCGGTTCCCGGCCAGGACCATGGGTCTGCCCAGCACGTCCAGGTACTCCTGCAGGGACACAGGGCAGGGGAAAGCATGACACAAGAGCCAGGTGCCTCCCTGCTCCAACGCGGTGAGGCTCCTCTCCCCACGCACGCCCCGGGGTGCCTGGGGCCAGCCCCAGCTGCACGCTGAGCCAGGGGAGG